TCAAGCCTCTACTAACAACAACAACACTCACCACTAACCAGCAACTCCCACCCACCACTACACCATGCCTCACCACCTAACAGCAACAACGCTCCACCACTAACAACAACAGCACTCACCACCACTAACAACAACAACCTCACCACAAACCAACAGCACTCACCACCTAACAGCAACAACAACACTCACCACTAAACAACAACACTCACCACCACCTAACAACAACAACACTCACCACCTAACAGCACTCACCACAACAACACTCACCACTAACAACAACGCTCACTCTCAACAACAACCAGCACTCCACCACCACTAACAACAACAACACTCACCACTAACAACAACACTCACCACCACCAAACGCTATCACCACCAACAGCAACAACACTCACCACTAACAACAACAACCTCACCTAACAACAACCAACCACTCACCACCCCAAGCAACACTCACCACTAACAACCTCACCACCACCTAACAACAGCCACTCACCACCAACAAACCCAAGCCTCCTCACCACTATAGCAAGCACTCTACTAACAACAACACTCAACCATAACAAGCAACCAACACTCACCGCTAACAACCAACACTCTACTAACAACAACAACGTCACCACTAACAACAGCAACGCTCACCACTAACAGCAACCAGCACTCTCGCTAACAACCAGCACTCACCACCACTAACAGCAACAACACTCACCTAACAGCAACAACGCTCACCACTAACAAGCAACAACACTCACCACTAACAGCAACAACCACACTCACCACTAACAACAACCTCACCACTAACAACAACAACACTCACCACCACTCCCACAAAACAACACTCACCACCACTCACAACCAGCCTCACCACTAACCAACACTCCGCCTCACTAACAACCAGCACTCACCACTAACAACAACACTCACCACCACTAGCAACAACACTCACCACCATAACAACAACACTCACCACTAACAACAACCGCACTCACCACCACTAACAACAACACTCACCACTAACAACAACCACCACCACCACAACAGCAACAACACTCACCACTAACAACAACAACCACTCACCACCACTAACAAGACACTCCACCACTCAACAACAAACACTCACTCACCACTAACAACGCCACTCACCATAACAAGCACTCACCACCCAACAACCAACCTCTACTAACAACAACCTCACCACCACTAACACCAACAACAACACTCACCACACAAACAACAGCACTCACCACTAACAACAACAACACTCACCACTAACAACAACGCCTCACCACAACAACACTCACCACCTAACAACACTCACCACTAACAGCAACACTCACCACTAACAACAACAACCAGCATCACTACCAACAACAACAACACTCACCACTAACAACAACCACACTCACCACCACTAACCAGCACTCACCACTAACAACAACAACCTCACCACTAACAACAACACTCACCACTAACAACAACACTCACCACTAACAGCAACACTCACCACTAACAACAACACTCACTAACACAACAACACTCACCACTAACACAACAACACTCACCACTAACAACCAACAAACAACATCACCACCCACCAGCAACAACACTCACCACTAACAACAACAACACTCACCACCAACAACAACACACTCACCACTAACAACAACACTCACCACCAACAACAACACTCACCACTAACAACAACACTCACCACTAACAACAACACTCACCACCTAACAACAACACTCCCCACCACTAACAACAACAACCTCACCATAACAACAACACTCACCACTAACAACAACGCTCACCACTAACAACAACAACCTCACCACTAACAACACTCACCACTAACAACACCTCACCACTAACAACAGCACTCACCACCTAACAACAACACTCACCACTAACAACAACAACACTCACCACCCAACAACAACCAACCTCACCACTAACAACAACGCTCACCACCCTAACAGCATCAACACTCACCACTAACAACAACAACCTCACCACTAACAACACACTCACCATAACAACAACAACACTCACCACCACCCAACAACCCACTCACCACTAACAACCACACTCACCACTAACAACAACAACCTCACTAACAACAACACTCACCACTAACAGCAACAACCATCACCACTAACAACAACAACACCTCACCACTAACAACAACACTCACCACTAACAACAACCACTCACCACCTAACAACAACCTCACCACAACAACACCTCACCACTAACAACAACACTCACCACCTAACAACAGCAACAGCAACACTCACCACTAACAGCAACAACACTCACCACCCTAACAAACAACCCACCTCACCCCAACAACAACACCTCCAAACCACTCACCACTAACAACAACACCTCACCACTAACCACACCTCACCACTAACAACAACACACTCTGCACTAACAGCAACCAACACTCACCACTAACCAGCAACCAGCACTCACCACTAACAGCAACAACACTCACCACCACTACAACAACAACACTCCACCACCATAACAACAACACTCACCACTAACAACAACCACACTCACCACTAACAACAACACTCACCACCACACTCCACCACAACACTCCACTAACAACAACACCTCACCACTAACAACCACACTCACCAGCAACAACACTCACCACTAAACAACAACCAACACTCACCCAACAACACTCACCCAACAACAACACTCCCCACTAACAACAACAACCTCACCACTAACAACAACAACCTCACCACTAACAACAACACCTCACCACTAACAACCAATATCACCACTAACAACTCACCAACAACACACTCACCACTAACAACCAACACTCACCACTAACAACAACACTCCACCACTAACAACAACACTCACCACTAACAACCTCACCACTAACAACAACAACACTCACCACTAACAACAACACTCACCACCAACAACAACACTCACCATAACAACACTCACAACAACACTCACCACTAACAACAACACTCAACAAACAACAACTCACCACACCAACACTCACACAAACACTCACCACTAACACAACAACACTCACCACACAACACTCACCACAACAACAACACTCACCACTAACAACACTCACCACTAACAACAACAACACTCACCACTAACAACAACAACACTCACCACTAACAACAACACTCACCACTAACAACAACCTCACCACCAACAATACTCACCACTAGCAACAACAACACTCCACCACTAACAACAACAACACTCACCACCACTAACAACAACAACACTCACCACTAACAACAACAACCTCCCACCACTAACAACAACAACACTCACCATAACAACACTCACCACCTAACAACACTCACCACCACTAACAACAACAACACTCACCACCACTAACAACAACAACACTCACCACTAACAACCTCACCACCTAACAACCTCACCACCACTAACAACAGCAAACTCACCACTAACAACAACACTCACCACCAATAACAACACTCCACCACCACCACCAACAACACTCACCACCACCACCAACAACCAACACTCACCACCACCACCAACCAGCAACACTCACCACCACCACCAACCAGCAACACTCCACCACCACCACCACACCACCACCAACAACACTCACCACCACCAATAACAACACTCACCACCACCAATAACAACACTCACCACCACCAACAACAGCAACACTCACCACCACCACCAATAACAACACTCACCACCACCAATAACAACACTCACCAACAACAACAGCACTCACCACATCACTCACCACCACCAACAACATCATCACTCACCACCACCAACAACATCTCTCCCCGTCACCACCAACATCACTCACCACCAACAACACTCACCACCATCAGCAACAGCACTCACCACCACCAACTACAGGGCTGTACTACATCTCTAGCATGGAAAAATATCCCCTATCCCTGGAATTTTCCAGGTACCGAAAAAACTTCAGAATTTCCAGAAAATTTGCCTGATTTTTTATCTCCCAAACCCGGAAAAAACTCCTTCCATCTCCAGAATTTTCTGGGTACTGGGAAAATTGTCTCTGAATTTTCCAGAAAATGTGCCCCTTGGAAAATCATTCTTAAAGACGGAATATTCCGGAAAATTATGACTGGGAATGATTTTTCTGAGAAAATTTTAATTCCAGGTTTTGGAGAGTTCTGGGTTTGAGGGATTCAGGCTAATGGAGATTTTACTGCAAAAAAAAAAATATATTATCACAAGATCAAAAACATAAAGGGAATAAAAATTTTTTACGTGCATGGGAGTTAACGAGAGGATTACAGGAGGAGGAAGGAGCAGAGTCAGGGATCTCCTGTATCCTGCGTGTATTGAAACTACAGTATACGCACAACTCAGCCACTAATGGTCTCGGATGTTGAGTGTATATCAGTAAATATGTGGTGAAAGTTTCCAGCTGGGAATGCATCCGCCCCTTAGTTACATTGATTCTTATGGGGAAAATTGCCCTGATACAGTATTTGCAAATTTATTATTTGCAATGATTTTTAGGAACACATTCTTTGTGATAACTGGGGTAGTCCTTTACTGCACATTTTTATGCTATCATCTTAGAAAGAGCAATGATGTTTTAATATTCCTATTGCTCTTATTTTTGCCTGGATGTGAGTATGGTGAGCCAATTAAAGCACATCTGTCAACTCTCCCCCAGTATTACCAGATCACCTGCCTCATATCATGCAGATTGGTTTGGTACAAACTTATGCTGTTAACTGTACATCTTATACCTGTTGAAATTACTGTATTAGGAAGTGTATATGGAGTATCCCTACCTACTGCTGTTTTAGCTTTGATTTTCTTCCACTAGTTTCCCTTTCCTCCCCCTTTTTCCCCCATCATTTTGATTTTAGTTTAACCTTTTAGCATTAATTATCTCCGGCGCCATATGACCTTGGCTGTTACGGCACTGAGATCATATTCATAATCATTCCTTCTTTCTCCAGGTTCTGGAGTTACGCACCGGATCCAGGCCTGGGACTTCACACACTATCGCATTCCTGATATATCTGACGGTAAGAGTCCTGCAGTATAATGTCTGCATTATTATTGAAATTCTTGAAATTTAATTCTTTAGTGTCTCATTGTAACCATGAAATACATTTATTTAAGTGAACATTAGATAAGTTTCTCATTTCTTAGAGAAACTTGGTTTTATCCATGTACAGTATTAACACTGATTGTTTAATTGATATACAGTCAATTTGACCAAGGACAGCTGACAAAGCCATGAGAGGTTTGTTTCCAGTAGGGTCCTTATGCCAACAGCATCTGGTGTTATTAGGGCCAGGCAGTCACCCATCCAAGTTCTAACCAGACCCAACGTTGCTTAACTTCACTGATCAGCTTGACATTCGGGTAGTCGGTCTGTTCTTTGTTATGAACTTCATTGTCCAGTATTTGGTAGGGTAATGCTGGATAACTCCTTTCTGACATATGACCCGGGTATTTGAACCTGTGGCCACACTGGTGAGAAACAAATGCACCACCACTGTATCACCAACACCCAAGTCTGTAACGTCTATTTTCACCCTCAGGTAATGCGAATGTGGTGGTGGGAAAGTGTAAAATTCATAATGATGCAAGTGTAGATATTTCCTCTGATGGCACTATGCTGGCAGCCCTAGTCCCTCAGAGCCAAGCTATGACCTTGGTTGGTAAGTGTCAAGCAAGTTAGTTTTTTGTGGAAATTAGTTACTCTGCATAGGTACAGTTGCCCCAAAAAATATCTGAAAAATATTGTTCATGACAATATGACACATCGGACGTATGTTTTGGGGAAATGCTAGAGAACCAGGCAATGGTCCCAGACAACAGAGGTTGTATTGTTCATTTTGACATCCATCGGACCCCACTTTTCAGATACGTTTTTGAGCAACTGTACCTGTCTTCACATGACTCTACTGTATCTTGTAAAAAAAATTATTGTTAACCATTTATAATGACAATCAAATGAACCAACCAAGCCAAAATTATTCTGATGATGTTATAATGTTTGTTGGGCAGAGTTTGGCTAGTTTATTATCTTTCATTGGTTCTCACTTTGTTTACTAGACCATGGTTCTAATTATGCTTCTTTCAACTCTCTTTATTTTATCTATAATTTTTTACAATATTCTGTTAAGTTGATTCGTTGTCTAAAAGTAAAAGTCAATACTGTCTACTTTTTGTAGGGAAAGTTTACCCAACAGCAGTACATCCCTGAATGAAATATTTACATATCCTGAAACACTTTGTACAGAGTGAAGTAGCTTTATTTGTTTATACCAAAAGTTCCTGATCCGGTGAGTACCTGCAATACTTTTTATTTTAATTTACTGTACAGTGGTCCCTCGGTTAACAAACTCAATTCATTCCAGAAGGTCTTTCGTTAACCAAAAATTTCGTTAACCGAAACCATTGTTTCAATGGGATTTTGGGTAATTGGTTCCAACTCACCGAAAATTACATACAAACTAAAAATAAATGCTGTAAAGTACACTTACTTTGAGGTGTGTATGTAGAAGGCTCCTGGTTGATAATGATGATGATGATGGGAATTAGAATGGGGGTGGAGGAGAAAGAAGAAGAGAAGGCATTGGGGTGTGTATATGTTCTGGGTACCAAGCTCTATCTACAGGAGCGAACACAAATACCTGTAGAGTTTTCATAGGTTCTATTTACTGGACAAACAGAGATACACAAGCGAGGTGGCTCTCCTTACTCTGTCTGGGGGTCAACTAGCCTCTCAGGCGACATGTGGCAAGTGATACATTAGCAGCTTCCATATGTCGCCAGGCACATTACTTAAGCGTGTGGGACATGGTAAATACATTGCCACATGCTGCTAGCTAGGCTGAATAAATAATGTATATAATTGGAGCACATACATAATATACATACAGCATACATAATATACTTACAGGGTGGAAGAGAAGTCACCCCATGCTTCATGCCGCCATTTCACCCATAAAATTTTAGTACACTTGGTGTAATTCAAGATTATTTTCTTCAAATCAACACTGCACTGCATTATATATTGTCAATATGTAAAATAAACTTCAGAATGACCAATAATTGTTCTGTAAAAATGTAAAAATAGTTTATGTTCAAGAGTCTCTCAAGCAAGACGCTTCCTCCACTGAGCAGGGACAGACACTGACGCCATTTTGGGTGAGTCATGTGGCTGTTTGGCGTGCTAAAAACTAGTTCCCTGTGCTTCAATTATGTTAAAATTTAAATACAGGTTGTACCTCTCTAGTCCGGCAACCTCGGGACCTGACCGGTGCCGGACCATGGAAATTCACCCTTTTCCTGGATAGATAGTGACTTGTGCTTATGCCTGGAAGCACTAGCACCACTTTCTCTGCATCATGGTCTCTTTGAAGACATATTGAAGGGTTAAATGTCGTATAGTAGCTTCTCAAATTTCGTGAGTTTTTAATTCTTAACGTATTTTATTGGAACACACGAAAAAATAAATAAATAAAAATTTTGACGACGGAAACTTGAATTTCGACGGGTTTGAACGGCCCGCCAACGTGCAGACGACTTGCATAATCGTGTAAACAGGGTCATTTCTCTTATGTACAAAAGATTCATTATTGTTTATTACTGAATGTCTTTTTTATTGAATTAATGTTTATGTGTGCAAAATTAGCAATACAATTCATTAATAATACGTAGAATATTAAAACACGCGCGGAAATGACACAGCATTGTTTTCGTTGATTACAAAACCAGTGACTAACTGGGTCTACATATAAAACTGAAGAAAATAAGACCTTGGTTGTAGTTATAGTAAAATTAATATGGTTGTTTTAAGTAATGTTATTTAATGTTAATAAATGGAACAACAGAAGTAGCTAACGATAATGGTAAAGAAAAAGAGAGATCGCATATGTAAGTGCGCATGCGCACACGTGAAAACATATCGTCATTACTTTACATAAGAATATGAAAGCAACACTTATTTACTGTTCATATATATTTTAATTAATGTTTCTGAATTTGTTTTTATTGAATTAATGTTTATGTGTGCAAAATTAGCAATACAATTCATTAATAATACGTAGAATATTAAAACACGCGCGGAAATGACACAGCATTGTTTTCGTTGATTACAAAACCAGTGACTAACTGGTTCTACATATAAAACTGAAGAAAATAAGACCTTGGTTGTAGTTATAGTAAAATTAATATGGTTGTTTTAAGTAATGTTATTTAATGTTAATAAATGGAACAACAGAAGTAGCTAACGATAATGGTAAAGAAAAAGAGAGATCGCATATGTAAATGCGCATGCGCACACGTGAAAACATATCGTCATTACTTTACATAAGAATATGAAAGCAACACTTATTTACTGTTCATATATATTTTAATTAATGTTTCTGAATTTGTTTTTATTGAATTAATGTACGTGTGTGCAAAATTAACAATACAATTTATTAATAATACATGGAATATTAGAGGAGACGAGACCGCTGCCGGCATTGTTTATGTTAAAGCTTACGAAACCAGTGACTGATTGGTTCTACATATAAAACTGAAGAAAATAAGACCCTGAGTTTAGCTGTAGTAAAATTAATGTCAAAAATGAATATGGTTGCTTGAAGTACCTGTAATGTTATTTAATGTTAATAAATGGAACAATATAAGTAGCTAACCATTAATGGTAAAAAAAAAAAGTGAGACTGCTCGTATGTAAGTGCGCACAGTGAAAATATATCGTCATTACATAAGAATATGAAAGCAACACTTATTTACTGCTCATATATATTGAAGGGTTAAATGTTGTACTCTGTATAGACAAGCAGAGAGAGAGAGACAGAGAGCAGCTGAACTGCCGGATGTAAACAAACCTTAATTTCCCGCGGCTTTTTTTTTTTTTTTAAGGGGATTAGCCCACCCGGGCATAGGTCACTGACCCAGATTGGGGCCTGAGGGGCAAAAATTTAATACTCCTGTAATAATAATAATAATTCAGATAAGTAAAAAAACAAAAAAACAAACAAACGTATCTACCTATTGGACAAACTAAAATCGTTGCGGACCACAGGAGTTTCCGGACCACAGAATGCCGGATTAGAGAGGTACAACCTGTAATTGTTAAAATGACAAAAAACTTTAATATAAGACTTGGAAAGTTATTGAATATTACAACCTTCTTGATATTTACTCAAATAGTAACGAATTTAAGCCCTAAAATCAGTTACTGTATTGGCGGACTAATACTACAGCTGGTGAGCAGGCAAAAGGAGGTGAAAACATGTTGGGAAAAATTCGTAAGGAATTCGTTAACCGAAAGTTTTTTGTTAACCGAAGTGAAGAATCTTATGGAAGGTAATTTGTGAACCGAGGGATCACTGTATTGTTATTGGTCCTCTTCAGAAAAGGGGGGGGGGGGAGACTGGCCATGCTGCATTTGCCAGTTTGTTTATTACCCTGTATTTAATCCTTATTACATTCTCATATGGTGTACATTTCTTCAGAAATAATATTCCTTTATGATCAGCCTCTTATGGCATATGATTCATCATAGATAATAATTATAAAGTCTTCAATAACAAAAAGTGTAATACAGTTTATCATTTGTATTTTGACTTGAGAATAAAAGGATACTGTACAGTGTAACAAAGGTGACGTCTTAATTTATCTTGTTTATCTTGTCTCCCTCCTCCCTCCATAACCTAACAAAAAGTTCATTGAGAGAATCCATTTATGTGTTATGATGAGGAATAAAATACACAATGATTTAGTTTATTTATATATACAGGTGCTCCTCGACTTACGACGGGATTAGGGACCCAAATCCAGGTCGTAAGTCCGACCTGTCATAAGTCCGAATGGTCGTAAGTCCGACATAGATAAAAAAATAAATAAATAAAAAAAAAAATTCAAAAATTCAAAAAAAAAAATAAATAAATAAAAAATCTACAATGAAATATAGTACAGTAAAAGTAATAAATAATGAGGAATGGATACAGTGTGACTGAGCATTTACCTTTAATGTAGTCAGCTGAATGCATACGGGGCCCCCATAATTTTCTAATTATACATAGAGCCTACATTAACTGGAACGTTTCCGTATAGAAAATGCACACGTCATTTGAAAAAAAAATTAACAAATATTTGGTCACGACTGCGGCGGTCGTATGTCCCGACGGTTGTAAGGTCAGAGCAGGTCGTAAGTACCGATGGATGTAAGTTGAGGCATTCCTTGCAAGGAACCTTATAAATGCAGCCCCTAACAACACGGGTGGCTGCATTTATATGGTTCCTTGCAAGGAATGTAATATGTTTTACTTAGGCCAGACAGGTAAAGATCTTGTAACTAGACTTAAACAACATAAATATAGTGTTAGGACAGGCCAGGAATCCAATGCTCTGTTTGTTCATTTGAGGGATAATAAGCATTGCATTGACTGGGATAATGCTTCCTCAATATTACCTTACAATTCAATTGACAGTAGGAACATTATAGAATTTAGTCTCATTAAGCATGCCGAATCCGTCAACATGAATTTGAGTAATGGTATGTACAAACTGGATAATTTCATAATTAAAAAGATTTGTAACCAGGTGAGAAGGTAGGGTCAGCTTACCCTCTGACCTGACCACCGACTGCTGCGGTGCTTTTTTGAAGATTAGTAGAGTCATTACCTAATACCTGACC